CTTCAAACACATTAAAATATCTCAAATTGGCGGTTTTGGTACGATATTTGACGAAAGTCGATTATCTCAAGATCTAACTGATAGAATTTCTTTAAACTTTCCAGATAGTCACATGTCTATAAGACGGATAATCTGAGCAAGTTTGCGCGAATTTCTATGTGCCAAACGTGAGATATGACTTCAAACACAAGGAAATATTTCAAATTCTATCAGTTAGATCTTGAGAAAATCGAAAATAACCGCCAGCTTATGTAATGTAATCACAACTTGTTTAAGTTGACTATGAAAACCTTCCCCAGTTTGGCTATGATATAATTGATATCTCTAAATAAAATTGGCCTACGTTAAGATTCACCATTGAGCGAGCTACAAAAAATACACAGTACACACTCACATTCCTACCCAGTGCACACTATAACTGTTGCCAGATAAAACATTCAATGACTTGCTTTAATTACAATTAATAAACGATGTGCAGACACGTCATGCTAAAATACATATTCCGAAGTAAGATTAATCCCAGAATAATTTTTAGCAACTTTCAGACACGTTTTCAAACATAATCCAACAGCTACAGACAACTGCTGCAAGGAACTATTTCTTCCAGATGTAATGAATCGAAATTTAATAGGGTCCTTGTGCATTTTTGTCGTACCATACAGATATGGAAGCTTTCTATTCTCAGACTTGATTTTAATTCCATGAGACTTGAGGAAGTCTGCATGTCTGAGAATGATTTCAGGATCTTGTTAAGGTTGATATCCTCAACATATTTATTAGTGTACTGAACTACCATGTAATTGTTACTTTCAGGTTGACTCTTCTTTGACCAAACGTATTTACATCGATACAATTAGTATAATGTAAACAAACAAAACCCCGATTTACCACGAACCCCGATTTACCGCGGATGTTTCCTTTCCCCCAAACTCCGCGGTAAATCGGGGTTTTACTGTATTTAAAAAGTTTTGATTCCGCAATAATTTCCGTTCACAAATTAGGTGGGATCATGATTCATACATATCAAATTCTGCATACATGTATATATTGATATTGTATAACTCAATCTATAGCATATAATAAGACGGGTGTACTCATCAATTAATTTAGTTTAAACACTACTTTATTTAGCTCCTTATTATATTTGAAATCCGAATTGAATATTATTTATGAGAGTCAAATTTTTGTTTATCCCACGTTTGATTACGATGTTGTCACATTGAAACGTTGAATAATTCCTTTCCTCCTTATTTTATTTTTCATAAATATCTTATCATAAATATCTTATCAGGAGCAAAGAAAAACAGTCCTGGCTGTCCAAGAACCCTAACAGGGCCGGAACACACAACCAGTGATAGCAGGAAATACAATAAGCAGTGGCGTAACAACAAAAAGAACTAGAGGGATAGAACAGGTTACCACTTCCTGTAAAGAAGAAGAATAAAAAACATTCCCCCCATCTCACGTGCAGGCAGATTAAAAATCTTACTGTTATCTATATTTTGAGACCTCATGTGGCGTGTTTTTCTGCTTTTTATACTTATAATACTAAAGATTCTGCAGTCTTAACTCTTATACTTTTCAAGTAAAAATAATTGACTTCGGTAAAATTGTAATATGCCGACTCGCTATAAAGGTTTAAAACATGAGTGATTGTTGGTTGTAAAGTGCTAAGTATTTTTCCTTCTTAAATGGCTATATAAAAAGGCTTGTTATATTAGCCGGAGTTTAGCAGCTCTGAAACAACCTTATGATAGAGCGCACAAATATAGAGCAGCTGTTATGAACAGTCAACTAATAGCCATTTAACGGCCGTGATCATGTCGTTACGATAATACATAATAGCCGTCTCAGCTTTTTTAGCCGGTTAATTAGTTTACCGGCTTACGCAGTGGGAGATTTATAATTCGCATCGTTTTGTCGTTTTAGAACCTAGAAATAGTGCTCAAAGCTGGCTTTGTGGTTAAGTTTTGTAGTTGGAAAGTGTTTTTAATGTAGAGTACTGGGAGCTCTGAGGATTTATTATTCGCATCATTTAGCCGTCTCATAACCTAGAAATAGTGCTCAGAGCTGGTTTTGTGGTTGAGTTTTGTAGTTGGAAAGTGTTTTTAATGTAGAGTACTGGGAGATCTGAGGATTTATAATTCGCATCATTTAGCCGTCTCATAACCTAGAAATAGTGCTCAGAGCTGGTTTTGTGGTTAAGTTTTGTAGTTGGAAAGTGTTTTTAATGTAGAGTACTGGGAGCTCTGAGGATTTATTATTCGCATCATTTAGCCGTCTCATAACCTAGAAATAGTGCTCAGAGCTGGTTTTGTGGTTAAGTTTTGTAGTTGGAAAGTGTTTTAAATGTAGAGTACTGGGAGATCTGAGGATTTATTATTCGCATCATTTAGCCGTCTCATAACCTAGAAAGAGTGCTCAGAGCTGGTTTTGTGGTTAAGTTTTGTAGTTGGAACGTGTTTTTAATGTAGAGTACTGGGAGATCTGAGGATTTATAATTCGCATCATTTAGCCGTCTCATAACCTAGAAATAGTGCTCAGAGCTGGTTTTGTGGTTGAGTTTTGTAGTTGGAAAGTGTTTTTAATGTAGAGTACTGGGAGCTCTGAGGATTTATAATTGGCATCATTTAGCCGTCTCATAACCTAGAAATAGTGCTCAGAGCTGGTTTTGTGGTTAAGTTTTGTAGTTGGAAAGTGTTTTTAATGTAGAGTACTGGGAGATCTGAGGATTTATTATTCGCATCATTTAGCCGTCTCATAACCTAGAAATAGTGCTCAGAGCTGGTTTTGTGGTTAAGTTTTGTAGTTGGAAAGTGTTTTTAATGTAGAGTACTGGGAGCTCTGAGGATTTATTATTCGCATCATTTAGCCGTCTCATAACCTAGAAATAGTGCTCAGAGCTGGTTTTGTGGTTAAGTTTTGTAGTTGGAAAGTGTTTTAAATGTAGAGTACTGGGAGATCTGAGGATTTATTATTCGCATCATTTAGCCGTCTCATAACCTAGAAATAGTGCTCAGAGCTGGTTTTGTGGTTAAGTTTTGTAGTTGGAAAGTGTTTTTAATGTAGAGTACTGGGAGCTCTGAGGATTTATAATTGGCATCATTTAGCCGTCTCATAACCTAGAAATAGTGCTCAGAGCTGGTTTTGTGGTTGAGTTTTGTAGTTGGAAAGTGTTTTTAATGTAGAGTACTGGGAGATCTGAGGATTTATAATTCGCATCATTTAGCCGTCTCATAACCTAGAAATAGTGCTCAGAGCTGGTTTTGTGGTTGAGTTTTGTAGTTGGAAAGTGTTTTTAATGTAGAGTACTGGGAGCTCTGAGGATTTATAATTGGCATCATTTAGCCGTCTCATAACCTAGAAATAGTGCTCAGAGCTGGTTTTGTGGTTAAGTTTTGTAGTTGGAAAGTGTTTTTAATGTAGAGTACTGGGAGATCTGAGGATTTATTATTCGCATCATTTAGCCGTCTCATAACCTAGAAATAGTGCTCAGAGCTGGTTTTGTGGTTAAGTTTTGTAGTTGGAAAGTGTTTTTAATGTAGAGTACTGGGAGCTCTGAGGATTTATTATTCGCATCATTTAGCCGTCTCATAACCTAGAAATAGTGCTCAGAGCTGGTTTTGTGGTTAAGTTTTGTAGTTGGAAAGTGTTTTAAATGTAGAGTACTGGGAGATCTGAGGATTTATTATTCGCATCATTTAGCCGTCTCATAACCTAGAAATAGTGCTCAGAGCTGGTTTTGTGGTTAAGTTTTGTAGTTGGAAAGTGTTTTTAATGTAGAGTACTGGGAGCTCTGAGGATTTATAATTGGCATCATTTAGCCGTCTCATAACCTAGAAATAGTGCTCAGAGCTGGTTTTGTGGTTGAGTTTTGTAGTTGGAAAGTGTTTTTAATGTAGAGTACTGGGAGCTCTGAGGATTTATAATTGGCATCATTTAGCCGTCTCATAACCTAGAAATAGTGCTCAGAGCTGGTTTTGTGGTTAAGTTTTGTAGTTGGAAAGTGTTTTTAATGTAGAGTACTGGGAGCTCTGAGGATTTATTATTCGCATCATTTAGCCGTCTCATAACCTAGAAATGGTGCTCAAAGCTGGTTTAGTGGTTAATTTTTGTAGTTGGAAAGTGTTTTTAATGTCCATGTCGTGTTCGGTGTTTTATAACTCCCGACATGGCTGCACAACAGTCTCCCTTAAGAACACTTTCCACTGTTAATGCAAATTATCATTTACGATCGTTGTTCTACCAATCTGCCTTAATAAATTTGTTCATGAATTCATACACTGTAAGTGTAGACTGTATTATTAGTGCCGTACATTTGATTAGCAATTTACTGGGCATGCGACTTAATTGTGTCATGATGTTGATAGTTGCCAAATTTCGGTAACAAATTAGGACTTAATTTGAGTTTACTGCACGCGCGATGAATAATTTGTGTTTATAGAGATCTGCGGCGCGCTATCAGTCTAGAGACAAGTAAACAAAATTATGGCTGTGGGTCTACGAGTTTCATTGGAAAGAGCATACGATGAAATTGCGCAATGATTCTTGCTGTAAAATATTTGGGGATGAAATCAAGCGCTGGCAGCTGGCCATTGGAAAATAGTTAAGTTACCACGTTGCTCGGGGAGCTTTTCTGATCTGCTACGTGGATAACTAAATCAAAACAACAGTGAATGTCTCTTTGAATAATGGATATTGATGCATAATCTCATCTTATAACGTTTAAGGTTTGAGCTTTGTTACTCTTCGAGACAAGGGTATTCACTATTCACAGCGATCCTTTTACATTTTACACTATAAATAGTAATCAACAACTCTTCGGTTCAACATAGATAATTTATAGAATTTCACGAGGAGTTGCATTTCAAACTTGTGCACGAAATGAAATTAGAAGAGAACAAGGAATTTACAAGTGTTCTAACCCAATAACAGAAAAATAAGGCTTCAAGTCAATCCCTGGGTTATTAATGATTAAATTAACGGACTAAAGCCCAACTGAGTAGCGATCGCGATCGAGAGAGCGTATATATGTAGCTGCCTTTGCCCTTTGTAAAATCATTTCAGTAATATGTTCGCTAGATTCGGGTTGTTTTTGGTTGTGTGTTCTGTGACACGGGGCTTGCTTTCCCTTGGTGTCCAAACTCCCCCGCGATTTGATATAGAGGACATTTATTTTGATTTAAGCGAGGTTGGGAGCATCGAAAGGGTAAGTTCCACGCCCTGTAAGGTAACTGGAGCTTACGCTTTGGCCACAGCTCTGGAAATTGCCAATTTCATTGCCTCTGGAGAGTCAACACAGTTCTCGGTGCAAGAGATTGTCGACTGTCACTTTGGAGGGTGCAACGAGAGGAGGATTAGCGAGTACGCTGAGTGGTTGGCAGTGAACGACAGACTTGCTCCAGTGGACAAATATACGAACTATAAATCGACGGGATACGTTTGCCGGGCTTCCACCTCGCCTGATGCTCTCACTAACATAAAGGTGTTAGGCTCCAGGGCTATTGATGTGGCAGAGTTCGAGTCTGAGATGACATTGTAAGCTTCATTTAGTAATCGTAGTGCTCTTACTTTCAATATATTTCATTATATGGAATAGACTACTGATTGGGAGGTAGGGTATATTTTTCTAGTTCACGTGTGCACTTTTTCCAGTAACCAGGCTCAAGTAATAACCGATAAAAAATTCTATCTAAATACGTTTCTACCGTCTACGTCTAATAAAACTGGCAATCAGTGAAGACAAGATTATTGTCTCTACTGCCTACCCCCTCAAAATCTATCGAGCGTGCTAAATCACTCTACGTGACAGTCGATTTTCGAGATTGTTCTAAAAGGGCCCCCGACAGTTAAAACCAACTTCAATCTGAATCGATGTATTTTTGGACGCTGATTCCGAATCACCCCCCATAAGTGCCATGACATAGGGTTAAAATGCTCCAGCTCCCCATGACAAGATATTGGCGAAAAACTGTCTCGATCACGTGATATGACCGTATAAGGAAGTGAGTCTAATTTCTCGTTAGGGTTACTGTTAGGGTTTCAGCATATGCTTTTGTTAAGGATTGGGTGAGGGTTAGGGTTGGGTTACGGTTATAGGGTTTCGAATAGTCGTTCAGGGCCAACTAGAGAACGGGTTGAAAAAGTCACGTGACAGTCGAGTGATTAATCATCATCCAAAATCTATATCATTATTAAATATGAAAAATATGCAACAACAATTTGTATTAGAAGTTAAATTTTGTTACTTGCGCTGCATGAGCACCTTGACTGTTGATGTTCTAAGGAGTCATGTGCCAGTTTATTTAATTATGTCGTCTTAGCTAGATCTACTTGAATCTCAACCTTCAGGCAAGGAAGTGTGATGGCCTGCATGGACACCAGCCAGACGAATTGCTGGGCCCACAGTAGGTACCAAGAGGGAATTATAGACGGAGAAAGTTCGGAGTTTTGTGGAGAAAAGGTGCTGATTGTGGGTTACACAGAGACTTACTACCGGGTGAGGGGTAGTAAGGGGCCCAACTGGGGAGAGAATGGCTACTTCAGGTGAGCGGTGATACTTTATGGAGTTTATTTTGTAATGCGGTAAGTATTTTTACAGCTACACTCTACAGTTCTACTTGCAACGTGATCGGCGTGTTTAAGCTTTTAGAATTACGTGCAAGAACAGCCATTCTAATATTCACCCCCGATGTAATATAACAGGTAAAATTATGCTGCACAGACAACGTGGACACTAGACATGGGTTGCATAACTTATAAATATAACATAACTAAGTTAAAAAGTATGCCTAAAAATAACTTTTCCTAGGAAGTCAAGTACTGTAAATTTAGAGCATGTAATTTCAGAAAGCTTACCAGCATTCAGGAATGTACAAATTCTAAAACGCTTCAGAATTCTGAGAGGAGGAAACAAGTGCGGAATCGAGCATAACATGGTCGTGTTGGTGACAGAGCCACGGAGGAACAAGCCTGGAGTTGACCCTGTTTCCGGATGTCCGGCGAACTTCCCCAAATACTGCTCAGCTATTAAAACTTGCAGAACTAATAGCCAATTCTGCATGACAGTACGTGGGAATAGTTCATTGATCTCTCCAACTTTATTATAATATTGTTATCAAGACCATAATATTATTACCGTGATTATTTATATCAAACATTAGTCGGAGAGATCGTTTATCCGAAATACTGATGAGTCATGACAGAATTAAAATGAAATTAATATTCATTCAATTATAAATCTGTACTGGGACAAGGGGGGAAACTGACACATCTTCCACCAGGCAACTAAAAGTAAAAACAGAGGGAAAAGAAGCACACCGGCTCTGGACCAATGCACAGATCACCCAGGTTACCCATGTCGGGCTCTCTCGCGACATTGCGCTCACAAGACCATCTGGGAAAAATGCGGTGGAACTTGTGGCATGTGCAAAGCAGATGGAACTCCTAAATGTTCGGACACTGAGGATTTCCCGGGAGAGTGTGCGAGCTACAAGCGGTACTGCAGGATGGTACCTGCTCTGAAACTGAAATGTCAGTTGACCTGCGAGGTACCCCCGGGCGAATGCTCGGACAATAAACGGACCACTCCTGGAATAGTCAAGATGGATCCTCCCCCCGTAGGAACCTGTTACCCTCCGGAGATTCAAAACGGTCGCATCCTGAACAGACGGGTGTTTCTCAAACCGAAGGAGAAACTCCAGGTGAGATGTAATGCTGGTTACCACTTGCAGGGCGAGAGTGTTTACTGCGAGATTCAAAACGTCTTCAGACCAGATTCAAGGAGACTGCCCGTCTGTGTTAAATTGGGAGACGAGAACTTTGTGGGGAACGGAGCAGATTATCAAGGAGCGAGGAATTTCACAACGTCAGGACGGTCATGTGATAACTGGTTGAAGGCCGCCCACAGAGGGACATTTAGGACCGTAGAGAGGGGACTGCTTTTACTTTCTGGAGAAAACCACAACTACTGCCGAAATGTAGTTGGAGAACCTGCCCCCTTCTGCTTTTCGAGGTCTGGACAGATGATGGAGTACTGTTTCTCCCTTCCAAAATGCGGTGGAGATGAGAATGACGAATGCAGTGCTCCTAGGGTTGATATTTACGATTGTATGGAACGGTATTCCCCCGCTGACTGCATATTTACGAACGAGCTTGCTAAAAATCAGAAGAAATGGATCTGGGATCATTGTGGAGCGATGTGTTGTTCTTATGCCCGATGCCAGTAACACGATGTACAATAGACTTAGAGACAGATTTTAAGAATTCAGACTTTTGTGTAATATCTCTGATTGTGAATAACAATTGGAATTTCCATCATATTTCCTGAGTATTGACCTTTAAGATATAAAACAGTTGTGGATGATAACACGGGGCCTAAAAATTACAAGCCACATGGAACATCACCCGCTCTCAGTTGCAATTGTATTGGTAATGGTATGAGCGATGCTTCAGGCCGTACTATTTTTCGATCAATCCGAAAATGCTGCAATTCTAAATTATTCACTATTATGTTACTGTTATGAGCATGAATGACATTAATAAAATCAAGATGTTCTAAAAATCTGGTTGGACAGAAAATATTTGGGTTTAAATTGCTAAATACAGGGACGGGTAGCCAATAAGTCAGTGTGCAAACGTTTTGGCTTATTGCTCAGTCTCTGAGTGCTAGATTGAAATATTTCTTTTTGATATGACTCACTTTGATCGGTAATTCGAGGAATTCGTCAAATAAAATAATGACTATGTACAATATATAAAATATGTTCGTTCAAGTGCAAACTAATATTATTCGAGAACAAACAATAAACCTGTTTCACATTATCTCAAATAACAATAATATTAGTAACAGGTTTTAAATGATAACAAACAATAGGGTATAACAAATAATAATGAAATGGGTGCTAGACCTTAATAAATCTTAAAAAGATGAAAATGTAAATATAATTGTAACTTAATGACTAAATATGTTATGCCGCTATGCTCAAGAGAACCAGTAGCCTGTAGCTCAACCAGTGACCGCATTGTTTATTAAAATTACATATTTAACTTCAATCTAATTTACTTGTCCACATCACCGATCTTCAGCTGAACAAGAAATTACAATCTCAGATAAAGAATCCAGCTAGCATAATGGGTTGGTTGTTCTCCAACAAGCACGTTCAATCAAAACAAGTTGAAATATGTTAAAATAACAGCTAATAGCAATGTTCTGGTCACGTGTCAGTGTTTATACGATCTTCCACGTGGTAAAGCAGGTCGCCTAACGTGTGATCTACGATATTCACTGCTGCTAAGTCTGAAATTGGCCGCACGTCTCCCAGATCGTCTCCCTGCGAAGTTACAACATGATAAATCAAATCTTATATTGCATTGTCATAATGGTGATAGGATCAATTAATATCGTTGATATTTACTTATCGTAAGATATATAACCGTTTTAAAGCTATGTTAAAAACGACTCTTTAAAGAGATCAAGATTCCTGTACAGAAAGGTTTTAGAGTTAGACACTAGACAAACCTCTGGTTTCAGCTTGAATTCTGGACCAAAGTTGATCTGAACTGAGCAGTTCTTGTAAATTGAAACACAAGGAAAGTATGCGCCCCCATATATTTGTGTCCAAGCAGTACCTTCACACTTCCCGTTTTTATACAGCTTTATCTGAAATGAATAACGGTGAAATTATAAGATGAAATCGGCTGTGCGTATGACCGTTATCGATCTCTCCTATTCAAACTAAAGATAAATACTTTATGAGACATATCTAAATGGTGCGAAAGTCGGTGGTTTTTCGAAAAAAAAACACCATATTTTCGGACTACCAAAATTTAGGTCACCATCATTATTTTTCCCAAATTATTTTTCACGTATTTTCCTTAATTATGACTTTATCGATTTACTATCAACTTATCAATATAGTAAGTTATAAGTATGATTCATCAAACAATTAATGAACACTAGAATTCAATCATGAATTGCTTTACAAATGATTTTGGACACGTTCCATTAAAAATAAGCAAGCTGTCACTACTTTATTGGCCACGGCGGTGAAATTTCGGGATTAACAAACACTGTCGGTCTCCTATACCCTCTGAAGTATTATAAGTTAAGTTGAGGCTAACTTTCAAAGGCTCCGGAAAAATTGTTCACAAGATGAAACAGCTGATTAGAGAAGATTTTTGTATTTAATTTTCTCAAATATTGGGTTTCATTTTTGTAAAATAAGGAGATGAAAAAAAATCCCCAAATACCATGATAGAAATTCCCATATTTTCGTTCCAAAATCATTTAGGTCACCAGAATTATGTCGGACATAAATATGTCTCGCAAGGTAGAAGCGAAAAAAATAATGGCGGAGATCCTAATAAACCATTAAAGACGATAATTCTTATGATGATTAGAAGAAAGTTTTATACCATGCTGTTTGGAAGCGGGGTTAACGCCTTTTCTATCTTCTCACTCTCATCCTTCTCCTCAAAATAGAGGTGATTCTTAAACTTTATCAGAGCTTGATCTTTGTAGGAGGGAGGGAGCATACTGCCGCTGTGGGGCGCTTTTGGTAGGACTATCAGGAAACCTAACGTGTCACCAACTCCGTACCTGGTAAATACAGACTCTTTAAAGTGTCGGTGACACTTAGGTCTCAGCCAATTCCTTCTTTTAGCAGGAGGATTTTATAATAAACGATAAGGTGGCTTTTGCAAATGCATAGCTAAAAAACGGAGCAAACAAATCATAACTCGGTCACCATTTATAGAATGAGAAAAAGCATTGCGTAATGAATAACATCATTGTCAAGTTATTAATCTTGAAGATATCCGGTCAGGTGGTGTATTAGAATATCATATACTAGCTCTGACAAGTCAAAGCAGAAACCGTATATTAATAATACATTTTTCTAAAAATTTATGTTTTAAAGTGACGTACCGATTATTGCACCCGTCATGCAGCGCAGGACGATGATTTATAGTTTTTTAAAGCGGTATAACATTTTGAAGGAATAAGATTTGTTTTTGATAGAAAAAGCTAAGAATTATCCATAACAAGATAACCTACGCTCCCAAAATATCTGGCAACATACCACACCGCCCTTTAATATTTGATCTAGTGACACGTGTCCCTAGTGAAGCAATGAGGTAATTCAAATCAGTGTCCTTCAGTTAGGTTTCAAGGCGCACTATAATTGGAAGACGAATGCCAGACGAAACACTTAACCGGAAATCTGCACATTGACCCTAAAATAGTGCACACCTGCTCCGAGGAATACGACCGATAGATTTTCAGAATAATTGGTATCGTTCATTATTACATTTGAAGTCGTGATACTTATCGTGAAGTATTGAGTAAACAAGGTACTCATTTGATCGCGCTATGAGGGCTATTCAATATCAAAGGGCTATGGGATTCCATAATTAGGATTCCCTAATTCTTAAAAAGTGTTAAACGTTTATAAATACAAAATCTCTGAAAGTCAATTTGCTATTAACGAAATCAGCGGATTCAGTTATTCTACCAATGGTATAATTCAATCAAACAAAGATAGAGTTAAAATCATTGAGTGATTTCATTACGAGAAAAGGCGTGCAGTATTTAGCTGCAATCACAGTCAACTTTTTCACTCGTTAACCGTATTTCCACAAAATGTTCGCTAAGTTCGGGTTGTTGTTAATTGTAAGCGTAGCTACGAGGTGGGCTTATTCCTACCCTGCTCCGTACAGATTTGACATAGAAGATATCTACTACGATCTGAGTCCTGTGCGGAATGTACGCCTTGTTGGAGCACTGCCCTGCAAAGTTACTGGAGCCTTTGCTCTGACTACAGCTCTGGAGATTGCAAACAACATAATGTCCGGACTTTCGACGGAGTTCTCAGTGCAAGAGATAGTCGACTGTCACTTTGGAGGGTGCCAAGAGAGGAGGTTTAGCGAGTACGCTGAGTGGTTGGCAGTGAACGACAGACTGGCGCCAGCTCAGAAGTACACAAATTACCGGTCAATGCCCTACACGTGTAGAGCTGCCACCTCTCCTGACGCTATGCTCTACATCAGGGTCCTGGGATACAGGAAAATAGATCCAGCTGAATTTGAGGCGGAATTTATGTCGTAAGAAAAAAAAGTTACTTTATATTCTAGAAGTAGTCTAGTGGGTTAGTTACTATAGTCTTGACTTCTGGTTGTGGGGCGAAACTGATTTTTAGCACGTTACGATAATTTAGTTTTACGAATTTTAATACTTATCGCCTGAATGCCAAATAAGCCTAATATTATCTACTTATTGTTATTCTAAGGTTCAATTCTCTCGCAGGATAGATTAAACTGCATTAAAGTTATAGTACTGTGCCTATTTTTGGCTCAATTCCAAAATCTCCCCAGGCACGGCAGCGTGTTATCATGTATTGACACAAGGCAGAACACGTGTTACTCCTACCGAGAGTACAGGGACGGTATTATTGACGGCCACCGATCCAAGATGTGTAGTGTTAAAGTTCTGATTGTCGGCTACACCGAGAGCTACTACAGGGTGAGGACCAGTAATGGAGATTTGTGGGGCGAAAACGGATACTTCCGGTAAGTGCTGTGATCTTATCTGCTAGCTGTTTAGGAGATCTTGAGTGCAATGATCTTATCTACTAGCTGTTTAGGAGATCTCGAGAAAATTTAATATCCGGTCATTTATTGTTCATTTTAGCTTTGTAAAAATAAGTTATTCTCGGTGTAAAATGTGAATAAGAATAGAATCTTTGGACTCTTTTTTCAATGATTTCTGTTTCAGCATCCTGAGAGGACTCAACAGATGTGGGATAGAACATAATATGGGAGTGCTAGATACGGCACCTAGGTATTACAAGCCAGGCATCAACCGATATACTGGGTGTCCATCAACCTACCCTAGATATTGTCGCAAAACCAAGACGTGTAGAACAGCAACACAAAAGTGTTTACCGGTAAGAAGGATGATATTTACCGACATCATTATAAACTTCAATTTCAATATAGGGACCGTAATATACGGATGTTAAGTCTAGAAGAGTATCCTTGCTGTACGGCTAGTTAAACAAGGCATTGCAGCTTGGAGGTTCAATGTAGACATAACTACAGTTGAATCGTATATAGAACCTGGATTGAGATTTTAAAATGTTACACAAAATTTCTGAACAATAGTAACCCATATTTTCACCAGGAAATAGAGTCCGAACTCACAAAACTAAGACAGAAGGAAGACGAGGAGAGAGGACGACCTAACGCCTACAACTTCCCCAGCAGGAAAAAGAGACGCTCTGGAGAAGCTACCATGTGTGAAGATATGCTGGACTACCCTTGCAACAACGTGGTTCACCTTTGTGGTTATAAATCTGTGAGAGATCGCTGTGGGTACACGTGCGGGGTGTGCTATCCTGACGGAGCACCTAAATGTGCTGATATTGAGGATTACCCCGGTGAATGTGCTGTTTTCCGAAAGTACTGTTCAAAAGTGCCTGCTGTAAGACTTAAGTGTCAAGTAACCTGCGAGGTAGACCCGAGAGACTGCGCTGAGGTAAAGGGAAACCCCATTGGGACAGTTGTGAGGTACAATCCCCCACCTACGGGCAACTGTTACCCTCCAGTTATTGCTAATGGACAGATTATGAACACACGGAACTTTCTAGAGCCTAAAGAGAAAGTCGTGGTGCAATGTGACAGTGGGTACACATTAGTGGGGGAGGAAAGTTACTGCGATATACAGAATGTTTTCAAGCCCGACACCAGGAGATTACCATCCTGTATTATGCTGGGAGGGGACGATTTTTCAGGGAACGGAGCGGACTACGCGGGCAACAGGTCCCTCACCACTTCAGGGCAAACTTGTGAGAACTGGCTAGCATCTGCTCACAAAGGCATGTTCATGACTGTGGAGCGAGGACTAAGTCTCTTAGAAGGAGGAAACCACAACTTCTGTCGGAACACTGTCGTGGATTCAGTTCCGTACTGCTACACAACTAATGGCCAGCTCAAGGAATACTGCTTTTCACTCCCTAAATGCGGGGGCAGGGAAACTGACCAGTGTGGTGTTCAGAGGGTGGATCTGTTAGACTGTCCGGAGCTATACTCGCCCCCTGACTGTGTCTTTTCAGATGCTCTCTCTAGGGGACAGACGGAGTGGATATGGGAATACTGCGGGGCTATGTGTTGCTCCTACGCTGGGTGCCAGTAGTGGGCTATGTGTTGCTCCTACGCTGGGTTCCAATAGTCTGTTTTTATAGATATCAAAGAACTAATTTATCAATGTGGAGGCAGTCGCTCTGTAATCTGTATTTTAGACGATGACGAAATGTTTTGGTTTTATTTGGCGGGTTACACGTCCTAATTTTATTAACAAATTCAACTTACTATTGAACCGATTTTGATGCAAATTTACACATAACATAAAACATATTATATATATATATATATAATAGTATAATAATATTATATATTAAAGTCATTATTGTAACGGTATATTAGAACCAGACAGAAACTAAGTGTGAAGGGCCTGAACGGAACCCCTCGGTTTCAGTTCCTTGTTTAACACTGCCGTACAGCAAGGACATTCACCGAGTTCGCCAAGGCCATATATGATAGGGCGCTACAACATATTATATAGGGTGCTACAACATATTATATATATTATGATAGGGTGCTACAACATATTGTATATATGATAGGGTGCTACAACATATTATATATATGATAGGGTGCTACAAAATATTGTATATATGATAGGGTGCTACAACAGCAGATTGTGAGGTGGAAGTCACCGTAAATTTAGAACGGTATCTACCTTACTCGGGTATATTATGACTGGGATAAAGTGGTGGGTTTTGGAAAATTCCGCCATATTTTTCCCGGTCATTAATTTTCCCAGTCATAAATTAACCCGCTATAATGTTCCCGAGTAAGGTAAACTAATAGTAATACATTTTGATGCTTGGTGGGTTTTGGAAAATTCCGCCATATTTTTCCCAGTCATTAATTTTCCCAGTCATAAATTAACCCGCTGTAATATTCCCGAGTAAGGTAAGAGTGGATAAGATTTTTTTGACTATCACGACGGAGCTGTGTTTCAATATGTGTACTGCGTAAGATTTATGTAGCCGGTTAACATAATATTCTTACTAATCGGTCAATTCAAAACTATATTGCTTGGAACAGAAGAAACTGATAATCCAGCTTAATGTATTCGGCCTTGAACTAGAAGGTAGAACTCTGAAGGAAATTGACGACGCTATTTCCTCGTATGTGGTTATGTTGTTCAATCCTATTTCATGTTACTCTCCATTATTTTGTTCCTGGGGGGAAACATCTTCCTTCTTTCCCGTAAATGTACAGCCCTCCTTCCCCCATGTAGTTACTAGGTACATGTGCAACTTGAACATTGTAAAAATAACCTACTCAGTACTCAATTTATCTACTCATGTAAATAAGATCCACATACCTCTGATACCAGCCTAACACTTGCCTTTACCTGTATTAGATCTCGTAGTGCAGTTCCACCGCTGAAGGCGACATTATGAAGTATAATAACTACACCCTCTATGGGATTCACGACAGGACGGATAGACAACTTCTTGTCGGATACAAATCATTCATATCCATTTCATCCATAATCGGGGACATGCTCATTTTGGTTGGATCCATGAGATACAAAGCGATAAAGCTTCATAAGATTCTGGTTATCTTTATCCAGCATTTTGCTGTTGCAGATTTACTCTTAACCGGGTTGAGTATTTTGCCAGGTGCAGTGTCCTTGGCTGCAAACGAATGGATCCTTGGAGAAGTTATCTGTTATCTAAGTTACTTTGCAAACATTAGCTGTGCGGTAGTTATCTGTCAGCTGATAAGTGCTCTAGCTCTGTCCAAGATGCTCCTTGTCAAATATCCTCTGAGAGCAATCCAATTTTCCGGCAAAGCTGCTCATCTAGCAGCTTGTGGTATGTGGGCATACAGTTTGATATTCCCAGTTGCTGCTATCGCTAGAGATGAAGGTGGTGTTTACTTCAGCTATTTGGTCTATGGTTGCGATTATGATTGTTCCTTCGATGCCTGGAGCCCAGCAGGGTGTGTAACATACAGCATAGCAGTTTGAATATTCGTACTAACTTGCACTGCAGTCACTGTAGTTAGCAGCGTGGTGTTGATAGTGGAGGCAAAGAGGGTTGCAGAGAGAGTTCCAGGAGGTCTGAAGTGGCAAGGAGTTATCACAGTGCTGCTTACTGTATCTGTCCATATCATAATTGCTCTCCCGCTGGCGATCTATTATAGCATCCAATACTTCTCAGACAATCTTTACCTTTACAAAACTGCCTGGTTTATCGCAATATTGGGTGTAGTGGCTAACTTCTACATCTTCACTCTCACTCTCTCCAGTTTCAGGGAGTTCCTCAAATCCAGGATAAAGATGATAGTAGCCCCTCTGATGAGGTGCTGTACTGCTGCTGGAGATGGGAGGTCTGTTGAGGAGGGGGAGCGAAGAAGATTACTGGACTGACTTATAATTATTCGAGTAGACTAACAATCGCCTCTTAGAATACTGAGAACTTACTGATCTGAACAGATCAGCGGACGCTAGCTGATGAACTTGAGAATTAGACAATAGTTTCTGATTATTTCTTATAGAGAACTCATTTAATGGAAAGCTCTAAATCCGTTCTCATTTGTTTTCATATAGTGGAATGTTTTCAATTTAAAAAGAGTACAGGAATGTATAAAATAACATTAATAGGATAAGAATTTGTTGATGAAATTTTGTGAACTGACCCATGTTTCATTTCCTAAGTTTCTCTTTCGTAGAATTTGATTTGATATTTGATATTTACATACATATTATATTCATTGCACAATTAAAGTTTTCCGGTAATGTTTAATGTAGGCTCCTGACTTATGAGATATCACAATCAGGAGTGAGTTGTTTGTTTTCTTAAATTACTGGTTACCAACTGTTCGATTTAACATTTGAATTTTGAATAAGATATGAGATCTATTATTTTGTTCATCTAGCTAGGGTCTCAAGGAGTCCGGGACTTAAGGGTGGAAGACCTAGAGTTCAGAACACAGTCTTAAGTATCGTACACGTAATCTGCACAAAAAATACTTCCAAAACCTATTTATAGTACCTAGTCGGGATGTCCTCAGTCCTTGCTGCACTGCAAGTTAAACAAAACATTGAAACTGCTAGCTTCAGTACACAGGCTCTGTACAGCTCCTGTTGTATGTTTAATAGGTGGAACAAAGAGTGAGACACTTATAGGCTCTGTGAACTGAAACACACGTACAATGAAAAAAGCCTTTACCACGCAGGTCTACTCAATAACAAATCGTATATACTATTTTGAAGACTAACCCGCTGGAGAAACGTTTTCCTCTGCTATTGTGAAATATGGTTCCCTTTCTTGACCTCCAAGAGTACCCGAACCTGTCATACCCACACGGAGCCTGTAGGTTAGCATATTGCTGGGCCCATCCTATCCTACATGCTGAGTTATCAGGCATCTCCTTTATCGTGCACTGCAATGATTATAATGTTGGGATCTTGAATTGGGTAACTTTTCATACCAACAGAGTGCAGACTGCAGAGATAAAAGCCTAATTGCCCAACAAAGAAACCAATTTTTATTAAATAATAAATATGTGTAATTGTGAATAGAAATATATAAGACAAGATAATATTATGGAAATTGAAAGCAAACACAGCCTCTCTTCTCAGTCAGAAGTTTAAAGTCGCACCTCAAAATAGTAGGACCCATGTTTGACAGCGTGTGTTGCCCGAACTAAACAGTACCCCTTCTCCCCCGACACGGTAGTGCGCTCATCGTCCACCTTTATCTGCTGTGCTGGTGTGGTAACGAGTCAGACTTTAAGTTTAAATCATAGAGTCCGGTAAAAGTGAGGGTCATCCATATTCCATAGTTTATGATAAGAATCACCAGCTCATCACCAATGTTAGAAAAGTAGAAAAACTGAGGACTACTAACTTAATTAAACCAAAAAGCGTATTCTATGGTTAAGAAAATGTACTTAAAACACCACTATTCCGTCTTAATGAGCCCACGGGTAAGTTCTAACATAAATAACCACATCACCTACCTTTGTCATGGAGAGCCAACAGGACGTGCTCGGACAGTTTACACCGATAGTGTTTGGAGGGTAGAGGTTTGCCGGCAGCTAGCTCCTGCTCCCAGTTATCTCCAGCTAGGGGGTCTGCTTGTGCGAGGGTGTATCTGTAGTTATCCTGGGAAGGACGGTGTGTCATGTGAGGCACGTGATTTATTCTGCTGCTTGTGAGAAAGATAATCTTAATCTCTAGTGGACTGCACATTTTTAAGGGCACTGTTACTAACAGTCTCACAGTCTGTTAGAGATAGATTTTACAAACTGACTATTTTGATGAACAGTAATTTCGTAAAATTAATAATTTTTGCAATAAGATGAGAAGATGAAGTTATTAAAGAAGCGTAGTCACCTTATTGTGAGGATGTTCTAGAGGGTAACCCCATTTTGAGAGTCTCTCCTTCTTCTCCTCCCTGAAATATGTGGTGATAATTAGAGTTTAACCTTCATAATGTGAGCCTCGTTTCCAGAAGATTTGCCTCCTTTCTTGTCATAAACGAGACGGTGTTTGGGGATAAGTATGGTTTAGGGTAGAAGTCATACGTGTAATAGTTACGGTATTATTATTATTATCAGTGCCGTTGTAGCAAATCCAGTTCCTTTCTTTGGTCGTCTTCTATTTTCTAATGATTGTTTTTCAACTTGTTGAATTTCAGTAGATACTCCGGAAATTCTAAGTCAAAGCAACTCTAACCGGTGCAAGTGGTGCGGTGGAGCCATGTTGAGAGCCAATGATCAGAAGATACGAAAGAAAAGCCACAGTTTTTCTTGGAACTAAGAACACGAAAGGCCAGTACAATTTTCCTTGATAACGAGATGGTCTTTATATCATAGACCTCTCACTCGTTCGGAGCTCGGACCATCCAGCACATTTACCAGGCCAGAAAATTCATGACATTTAACCATTAAATTCAAACAAAACAACTGTAAGTTACTACGAATTCATCCTTGTCTGTCGAGTTAAATTTAAAATTTCACAAGCAACATTTACTAGTATAGAGCAGTATTACTATTGCATTTCTCAATAAATTAGACAATGATGAAATTTTGATAATTATTTATTATTGAGATAATTTCTTAATCATCAGAAGCAGACGCTGCAATATCAGTGGTGGTGCAGAGACTCATTTTTGGCCAAAAATTCGGCGACAGCGGTTGGAAAACAACATCCACGATCACGATTATTACGATTACAATGATTACATATAATGTTAACCATTATGAATTCGACAGGTGGTGCGAAATATATTTATAGAAAGTTTGGAGAAATAAAACTCATGTTAAAATATCAAACTAAAATCATTGAACCATACAATTCAAATTCAAACTTAAAATACTTATCAGTCAAATGTTCATTATTAATGAACTACGTAACACAAAATCAATCTCAACGTACAATAAAATCACTTTACGGCATTTATACCTTTTTTTATTTTACATTTTATTCATTCTTAACAAATGATATTGTTGAAAGTATGAGACAGTCGAAGATTAACAATCAAATAGATTCATTTAATCAGACATGCTGACAAACTCAACATCAACCTTAAATTGGAATTACACCCAATGCAACATTAATAACTCTTTTTCTAATTTTACAAATAATAGTGTTATAACAATCCAATCTTAAATCAAATATTTTAACAGGTAACCACCTAAAAGATGTAGTATTTAAAGCATAATGTTAAATATCAATAATCAGTCGATTCAATTTCAAACAAGTTTATTCAAGAGTTCTAAAACAAGAGTTTGTCCCCAAAGTGTCCTTAATTTCAAAATCGAAGGTTTGATAAGTCTTGAACAATCTATTCTATCTCAGTTTCTACATTAGACTTTGGGCATTTTAGAGGGGATAAGATGGGGTTTTTTCGGAGTGCTAGTTGTTAGCATAGATATCATCTTGTTGTAGGGTGTTTCCTCTTTTTGGGAGAGCAGGTTTGGCTACTTCACTGCAGGGACAGGAGGGACACATACATCTCCGCCCTCTAACTTTGGCATCCGTGGTTGAGAGCTCAGCCTGGTAAACCATGTGTATGTCTTCCTGCAGGTCTTTTTCTCTTTTTTCCTTCCAGATGTAAAGGATGATTCCTATCACCATGGCGAGAATCAGGATGGACAACACTAAGCTAACTACCGACAGAGCGTCAACAGAAGACTTTTGGCAGATAGTTTTATCTTTGGATGGAGAGGTTCCTTCTGGACAAACACTGCAAGTAGCCCCGTTTCCAACATGGTTTTCTGGACATTCAATACAAGTGTCATTTTTCCAGGAGTATCCTTTAGGACAGGGGGAACACTCAGAGGATTCAGACTCAGATACTGTGAAGACAGGGCACTTTGAGCAGAGAGAGAAGAACTGTCCACTGAAGTGGTTTGTGGGACAGGGTGTACACAGGCTACTGTCTTCACTCCAGAATGTACCCGCAGAGCAGTTACACACTCCACTACTGCTACCTGGAGAAGTGCAGTTCACACAGCTCTCTCCATCCCAAGATAGTCCACTTGGACAGTGACACTCTTCAGAGAGAGGGAGGGAGGTGGCTTCGTGAGGACATCTTATGCAGGTTCCCTGTTCTTTTTCTTTGTAGTAGTTTGCAGGGCATGCTTTACAGGACCCATCCCCGCTATTGCTCCATACCCATCCATATCCTTTCTCACAGCTGCAAACGTCTTTGTTTTTGAGAGGCACCGATTCTGTTGGACAAATACTGCACACGGCTCCGTTTCCAACATAGTTTTCTGGACATTCGGTGCAAGTGTAGTTTTGCCACGCGTATCCAACCGAACAGTGAGAGCACTCAGAGGATTGTGTGTCAGATACAGTGTTTATGGGGCACTTTAGGCAAACAGTGGAGTGATTCCCACTGAAAAAGTTTCTTGAACAGGGTCTGCACTGGTTATCACTCCAGAATGTTCCAGCGGAACAGTTACACATTCCACTGCACTACTGCTACCTAGAGAAGTGCAGTCTACACAGGTCTTTCCATCCCAAGATAGTCCGCCGGAACACTGACAGCTCTCAGAGAGAGGGAGGGAGGTTGCCTCGTCAGGACATTGAACACAGATCCCTTGTCTTTTGTCTTTGAAAGAGTTTGCAGGACATGCTTTACAGGACTGCTCCATGTCTACGCCCCATTCCCAACCATATCCTTTCTCACAGCTGCAAACTTGTCCGTTGTTCAGTGGCACTGATCCTCTAGGACAACTCACACAGTCATCTGGAGCTGTTCCGCCCTCCTTGCTGACTGTACCACTTGAGCACGCCACACAACTGCTTAGGTCAACGTAGAGATATGTGCCAGCGACACATGAGCAGAATGATGATCCGTTCAGTGAGGTAGAATTTGTGGGACATTCCAGACATTCATTATGGTCAGAACTCATGTAGGTGCCTTCATCACAGGAGCAGTAGGTAGATCCGGTGAGGGAGGTTGATCTTGAAGGACAGGAGAGACAGGAGGTGCTGGTGCTGGGTTCGGGGGAGTAGGTATTGGGCCCGCACTCGTAGCACTTGTTGCTGCCGGATTTTCTTTGTCCAGGGGGACAGACGAGGATGTCGGTGTTTGGCATGTCACACCACAACCAGACATCTTCATCATGGGTGGCATTTGTGACATCTGTTCCGTATGTGCATAGTGGGAATGCTCTATCCTTAGATAGACAATTCACGCTGCTAAGACTTATATCTAAGTCTTTCTGATCCGGCATATATTTTCGACCGAGGTTCCAGCTCATTACACCTTCGTAGCCCATGATGCGGCACACCAACTCCGCTGTTGAGTCATCGAATTTCTTTCCACTTACTGTTCCTCCGTTGTACATCAGCAGACCGTGTTCTTTCTGGGTGTGTTGCTTGTCTTTGCCCGCAAGGTAGAATTGGGAAGAGTCTCCTTTCTGGGACCGAACGTTGCAGTAGATGAAGAGAGAGTAACTGTAGTAATCTCCGTACTTTCTATATCGACACTGAGGAACTGTACTACCTGAACACTCAAGATATCGATACCTGACAGGCAAGCTCTGATGCCAGGAACCGCCATCTGTAGTCAGAGCGTTGTATGACTGGTAGCCCAACATGCGACAAATCCAGTTCAGCGTCTCGGAGTTCATCCCGCTGTGGTAGACTGTTCCTCCATCGACCATCAGAAGACCGTAATCACTTTCTGTTGACAGCATGGTGTAGGAATTGGTCTTCATGAGATGAAAGTTGAGGCCTGCGATTCCTGAAATTATAACCACGTGTACAGCTAATATTTTAACATCTTTTTCAACTTTTATATGGATCCGAGAAATATGTAGAGGACAGCACAATGTACACTGGAAGATCGGTGAAAGTACAGGCTGATTAAATAAATCTATTTACTGACATAACAAGCTTTTAAAGGATTTAAAAACATTTTAAGTCCCAGCAGGTGTCCTTTGTTGCTGACAAACTTTTCATAGCTTTTCCACGTCGCTCAAAGTGATCGAAATTTCATAAAACGGGGAGAAAGGTAATAATTTTATAAAAAATTCGAACATTTTTCACTTAAAAAATGTTTCGAGATCAAATTGCACAATTAGTTGTTTGAGAACTTTGAAAAGTGAACGTTTCGGGAATACTAAAATCACCAAAATTTATAGTTTATAGGTGTAATGTTCAGTAAATCTCAGCAGATTTTGGAGGTTCAGGGATTACTAAATCAAAGGATTGAAACTGAAATTGTGAAAATCGTTAACCACTCGTAAGAGTTTCAAGAGTAATTACAGTGCAGCCTTATCAATTCCATTAAACAAAATGAACCTAAGGGGTCGTTCACATATTACATAATCAGCCGAGGGCCGAGGGGGGGTTTCGAAATGATTACGCTAGTGTAATTACTTATTTTGATACAATAGCTATGTGTAAAACTGATTACGGAGGGGGGGGGGGGCGTAAAAATTGTCCACAAAGTGATTACGTAACATGTAACCCCTAACCACTAACTTGCTGGCCTGCTGTATTATGATTTTAATAATTAAAATTATTTTGTTGATTTCAATGATTATGCAGTGTAAGTGGGGTTAAGATGCTATTATTTTCCCTGCTCACAAACTCCTACTTGTTGATAAAGCGCCTCTAATCCTCTATGTCATCAAGAGGTTTTAACAATGTACATGAAAAGTTAAGGAATCTGGTGTCAGACTACAGTTTGATTACCAATTTCCAAATATCCTGTTATTTTGAATTATACGACTAAAACATCTTTAATGAGATCACCTCTGTGCAGTAAAACCTTTCTATACCGTGCCTCTTCTTTCCCCAAAATCAGGCCGAGTTGTGCAAGAAATGTGATTTATCATAGCTACCATATGTAATGTAACGATGTAACAGAGTCGATATATATTTTAATGTTGCCATGGGGTGGCAAGTCCCCAAAGATCGTGGTCCGGTAGTTTCATTGCGTCTTAATATATACAAATTGAACTCTACCCTTACATAGATTGAGCCCATTTCTAAGTCAATAAATTCTACTGACGAGTGACAGATCACATCACCAATTAGTCGTTACTGATTTGATAACTGGATCTGATCAGTGATCTTTCTTGATCATTTTCATGACCCAAGGTCCGCCAGCAGACACAATACGTGCATACAAGGCCCTAATGGGGGTATATGAAACGCTTGGCAGATTATTTGAGAGGCTACACAGTCATAACAGGTTTCAGACATGTTATTTCAGAGGCTACAGTAGATTGGGAATTAATTATCCAATTAATTGATTATCTGACGTGAAACTTTAGCAACGACAGTTTTTCTCATTGATAAGATAAACACCCTCGATGAATCTGCAGCCTTCTACGATGTTCACAACTAAAGATAGCTGTGGTAAGGTTTGGAAAAGTTGGTCTCAAAGGACTCAAAAATGTCAAAAATCCTTTGAAAGCTCATTGTGTCGGTTAATCGATTTTTTTCAGACGAATCTGTCTGTACTTTAACTCAAAAAAAATATGAGTAATTTTCATTACTAGGCAAGCTTTTAATTAGTAATAAGAAGCTAATTTGAAAAATTGTCATAAATCAATTGATAATATTATCTAACTAACCGTTCACGGAGATCGTCAGGTAGAGTAGAAGCAGAAACATATTCTGATAGTGATACAAAGTATCTTCTCCGTGAAAATTAGCAGCTAACAAAGAGCGCTCAACGGTAATGTATCTCTTCGGTTAAGTTAAGGAAGTTCATTCTTCATTTCTTACTCAAGTATCGGAAGACGAAATTTCGACCAATTGAGTTAGTCGAAATCTTGTATTCCGTTTTACAAAATATTCCATGATTTGTAACAACTCGTCACAGAACTTCTCCTTGAATTCCATTGGAGCGCACGTGCACGCCAGTGCTACAGCCACCATCCCGCTCAAAATATTCCATGATTTGACTATGAAATTAGTAATTCTATACGATATACGTCAAATCATCACATATTTTGTAAATTGTTTACAAATTTGCAACTTTGAGTAGTTACTAAAGTTAGTGTTCTCCACTTTTTTACGTTCATACCATCCGTATTATCTCCTAAACTTCAGTCTCATCAGAATAAATCCTCAACTGGTGATTGAATTCCTGGATGATAAATATAACCCGTAACATTGCTCAATATGACAATATTTTACCAGAACGATGATAGTGACACCATTGGGGGTATCGTAATGACGGCCACACATCCCCTATGGCTTTTAACCCACTCATTCTCTCTCGTCCCGCCCGCCCTCCCGCCCTCCCGCCCTCTCTCCCTCTCTCTCTCCCTCTTTCTCTCGATTACCGATATCCCATTATAAATATAATTCTACAGCGAAAGCAGACTGATAGCCAATACATTTACAAGATTAATAAGGAATTTGGTTAGTATTCATCATAGGTAGTAGCAAGTAAAATTCTTTGCTAAAAGTATGCAGACACAAAGACTAATTAATTACTTATTAACTGATTAAAATCAAGATAAGTCATCAAATTAAGACGAAAAACCACATGATTCACAGCGTTTCTGGTTCGTTGATTTTCAATTCATGCCAATTCATGTAACTTAAATGCTAGTTATCAGTCATAGACTGTTATGAACTATAATCCTTGTAAAAACTACAGCTTAATTTCCTTTGTTCTTCTTTCCTTTGTTCTTCTTATCTTTGTTCTTTTTATCTTTGTTCTTCTTATCCTTCTTCTTCTTTTCGGCACACCCTTTCTTTGCTAGTTTCTTGAAGAACTGATGCGGTTCATACAAACTACCGCGACCATTTTTATCGACGAAAAAGTCACACTGATAAACCACCTTGCTCCCAGGGTTAGATCTCGACAACTTCATAATGTACTGGCTGCCTTCACGAAGCCTGTCTGCAATTCCACACATACCACTATCATCGTGACTACCGAGAGTAATGATCTGTTTCTTTTCAGCCTGAACCTCCGTACCTTGCCTGTAGATGTAGGTTATCTTAGCACGCACATACACCATTTTCGGTTCTGGGGCAGAGGTTGATGCAGGTGACGTGGTTGAGGAGGGGTGGTGGTTGGTGGTCTGGTGGTTGGTCCCGTTGGTGGTTTGGTGGTAGTCATTCTCTTAACACGATCCCCGCCCTTTTCCTTGTCAGGGAGAATCTTCACAAGAACTACAGGCACGTCCAGGTCGTATTCGTCACAGAACTCCTCCTTAAATTCCATGGGAGCGCACGTGCACGCCAGTCCTACAGCCACCATCCCGCTCAAGAGGAGTACTAGTCGTAACATTTTCTACTTTGGAAGGTTAAGTGTCAGATATTAATAAGTTTTATGATTAAACTTATTACATTTTATTACATTTTATTCAAGGTTCCTTTTAGTGCCGTGGACCACGGCCCGTTAGTTATCTAGTTATCGAAATATTAAAACCTTGAAATTTGAAATAATTAATGTGTACGCTGGGAATGAAATATAATGTTGTCTGCAGATGTATCACAGTAAATAATATCAAACATTTGTGTCTAGAGCAGATGAAAAACTACAAATGTACCGCTGCAACTGCTGTACTACTGGTACAGGTCGAGAAATTTAATAACTTGTCGGCCGGGTTCTTGATTTATATACCCTCATACAAAAAACGCCTTAAATTGTTATCAGCAAAATAGGTCGGGTATTGGAGAATCTTGACACCCTGTCGTGGCTCAAGATAAAAATAATAAATTAATTTATAGGTGGTACTTCAAAGCACAGCCTGGAACTGAGTTATAATTTTATAATTATCGTATATCCATTTTTACCGAATAGAATTCCGTGGGTATAGGACACTTCAGCGGTGTACACTACGGTGGACACAAGGGTGGAGGACACAAGGGTGGAGAACACAAGGGTGGAGGACACAAGGGTGGAGGACACAAGGGTGGAGGACACAAGGGTGGAGGACACAAGGGTGATACCAAATACCTTCATAAATAAAGAACCAGTAATTTGTAACATCATACCATTTGATTTTTGTTTATATGCATAAACTTACTTTAATAACATATAACACACGTAACGCCGACACGCACCACACACAGGGATGTCCCCACATACAGTTGTGTGATATGAGATAGCATCGTAACAAGAAATCATGCACTCGTTTAACCACAAACATTAAAAACCCGTGTAACCCTATGTTTTGCTAGTAAAGTCTTATCAGATATAATTAAATTATTGAATATAGCAATATTTTAACAGCTAAAAGATATTAAATAATGTATCAAAAGTACGTTGACGCATGTGAACAAAAGTTAAACCAAATTGTATTACGTTAAAAGTTTAAATTACTGGTTCTTTATAAATTTATTTATGACGATATTCGGTTCTGCCCTCGTGTCCACTGTCCATCTTAAAGTGAGTATCATGAGATCCGCCCTTGTGTCTACCCTTCTAAGCTTCTAGGAAAGTACCGCCCTTGTTTCCTCCGCCCTTGTGGCCTATACCCCCTCTCAATCGACAACCGTTTAAAAAATACACCGAACCACTTTTAATCCTTTTATATCTGGGTTTTTTAGAAGCATTCATTTCTGTATAATTATGTATTGTTTGAAAAGATTTGGATTAAAAAATAAAAAGAAAGTATGGGAGTTAAAAGATAAACAAACCCCGTATAAAATATCTTGGAAAATAAACCAACATGCCCATCCGTACAAGGGGGGTACGAAAGATTGTCATCTCTGCCTTACTGAAGAACTTTATATTATTTTAAATAAAGACGACAATCTTCTGAAGGGGAGAAGAGAAATTATTATCCTTGTTTTTCGTTTTGTTTCGTTTCGTTTCGTTTTGATTTAGATTTAGTTTTAGTTTTAGTTAAGTTAATTTTATGAAGGAGCTTGTAAGGAAAATATGGATTTAGTAATAGTAAGTTATTCTAACACTGATGATTGCGTTTGCATAAAATTTTAAGTTTGTAGAATCGCCGTTTTTCAAGTACAACGCTCCCCTCCCGGGTATAGTACTCTTGAAACTGGATTTCTCCAAACAAACATCATATATACATATATCTCTACTATAATTCAGAGAATTGTTTTTGTTGTATGTACGACCGCCCACGTGCAAATCAAACGAGAAATAGGAATTTTGATCGGTTTTGTTGATATTACGCTGTGTTTAGTACGAGCAACATTTTAATCGGCTGTATTTTTAACGCGATTTAAATTTACTAACTAAAAATACTATTAGCTTCCTCCCTATGACCACGGGTTTTCTAGTCTCTACTATAATTCAGAAAATTCTGTACACTGTACGTACGACCGCCCACGTGCAAATTAGATGAAAAATAGGAATTTAGGTAACAACCAAAAGGTTCCATAGCAACGGTGTTTTAATGCACACATGCACGTGCAAAGATTGTTTTACCGTCATTTTGATCGGTTTCGTGGTAATTACGTTGTGTTTAAAGTGTTTTATATTTAAATCGGCTGTATCTTCGGTTGAGATGGATCTTTTTTGATGCGATTAAAACTTTATTTCAAAGAATACTACTAGCTTCGTCCCTGTTACCACGGGCTTTCTAGTATATATATATAACGGTATTTCTTTCTTTTTTAGCAAAGTGTTCAACTAATGGTTAGGAGCATTCTATAAGCGTGACAAAGTAAACGATGTTATCGTCATATATATATATATATATAGACACAAAGACTGCGATTTTGAACACTAACTTTTCCTAATAACTAAAATACAAAACGAAATTTTGCAAAAGAACTCTTTGGAAGACATTTTGATACACCACAGCTATGGTTCAACTGGTTATAATTATGCTTTTAAAAATTAAAATTACTTATTAACTGATTAAAATCAAGATGATTCATAAAATTAAGACGAAAACCCACATGATTCTCAGCTTAATTCCCTTTGTTCTTCTTTCCTTTGTTCTTCTTATCTTTGTTCTTCTTATCCTTCTTCTTCTTTTCTGCACACCCTTTCTTTACTAGTTTCTTGAAGAACAGATGCGGTTCACTATAACTACCGTGACCATTTTTATCGGCGAAAAAGTCACACTGATAAACCTCCTTGCTCTCAGGGTCAGATCTCGACAACTTCATAATGTACTCGCTGCCTTCACTCAGCCTGTCTGCAATTCCACACTCACCACCATCATCGTGACTGCTGAGAGTAATGATCTGCTTCTTCTTAGCTTGAACCTCCGTTCCTTGTCTGTAGATGTAGGTTATCTTAGCACGCACATACACCATTTCCGCCTCTGGGGCAGAGGTTGAGACATCCATAGGTGTCGTGGTTACTGGTTTGGTGGTTGGTCTCATGTTGCCACTGTCGGTAGCAATTTTCTCACCACTATCACCGCCCTCTTCCTCGTCAGGGAGAATCTTCACAAGAACTACAGGCACGTCCAGGTCGTTCTCGTCACAGAACTCCTCCTTGAAATCCATGGGAGCGCACGTGCACGCCAGTCCTACAGCCACCATCCCGCTCAAGAGGAGTACTAGTCGTAACATTTTCTACTTCGGAAGGTTAAGTGTCAGATATTATTAAGTGTTATGATTAAACTTACATTTTATTCAAGGTTCCTTTTAGTGCCGTGGTACTATCCAGTTATCGAAATATTAAAACCTTGAAATTTGAAATATTTAATGTGTACGCTGGGACTGAAATGCAATATAATGTTGTCCGCAGATGTATCACAGTAATTCAGTAAATAATATCAAATATTTGTGTCTAGAGCAGATGAAAAACTACAAATACCGCTACTATTGCTGGTACAGGTCGAGAAATTTAATAACTTGTTGACCGGGTACCTGATTTATATACCCTCATACAAAGTACCTGATTTATATACCCTCATACAAAGTACCTGATTTATATACCCTCATACAAAGTACCTGATTTATATACCCTCATACAAAGTAAGCCTTAAATTGTTATCAGCAAAATAGGTCGGGTATTGGAGAAGCGAGACACCCTGTCATGGCTCAAGATAAAAATAATAAATTAATTTATAGGTGGTACTACCAAGCACAACCTGGAACAAAGTTATCTCTACTATAATTCAAAGAATTATTTCTGTAGAATGTCTGTCTGTACGACCGCCCACGTGCAAATAAATAAGAAATAGGTAGTTGCATAATAACCATGGTAACGAGGATTGTTACACGCACGTGCACGTGCAATGATTGTTTTAACGTAATTTTAATCGGTTTTGTTGATATTACGCTGTGTTTAGTACGAGCAACATTTTATTTGGCTGTATCTTCGGTGGGGATGACTACTTTGTGACACAATTAAAACTGACTTCCAAAGAATACTATTAGGTTCCTCCTTGTGACCACGGGTTTTCTAGTAATTTTATAATTATCGTATATCCATTTTTACCGAACAGAATTCCGTGGGTATAGGACACTTCAGCTGTGTACACTACGGTGGAACTCTCCTAAAAGGGAACCGGATAATGGATATGAGGGTGGAGGACATATAGGGTGGAGGACACAAGGGCGGACGACACAAGGGCGGACGACACAAGGGTGGAGTACACCCTTGTCCTCCGCCCTTGTTGCCTATACTCCCTCAATCGACAACCGTTCAAACAATACACCTAACCACTTAAGTCATATTAATCGACTATAATCTTTATTCAACAGTTGGATCTACTTACAGTTTTGACTTTTTCCCTGGACCCCCGTTGCCATCAGTAGTTTTTCTTTTCCCAGCTGCGCCTCCTTTCTTGTTGGGGGGTTTGCCACCTTTACTGGGGTTTCCTTCCAATTTCTCGGTTGTACTTCTTAAGGGGTTGATCTGAGCTAGATCCTAGGAATGATAAATGTTTTACTTTAAAGAATACTTAAAACTCACTTGACTTATAATTTTCTTAAGTCAATTTCTAGGTCGTATTATTGCTTTACATTTAAATAATACAATAACAACTAACCTCATCAGCAAGTGAGTAGAAGGTTTCCTCCCCCTCGGTCTCCGAGGAGAAGACACTTTCAGTGGTAAGAGCCCGGTAAATGTGTGTGGGCCAGTTCAGACTCTGTTGTCGGTTCGGCATGAGCTGATCCCAATGTTCTGCAATGAACGGTACCACATCCTGGATATAAGTTAACTTCGTATTATCATTATTAAATAAATATAAATTAATTAAATCCTCGTTATTGATTAAAGGGTACTGTCTGATGATTTGGTTCATTTTGCAACAATAATTTCAGTGCTGGAATGCAGGAAAGATATGACTATCATTGAGAAAATCCTCCAACTGAGGGTTGTGGACTGTGGTGAGGTTGCTAATTTAAAGTAGCAGTCATTGACGAGCCCCCCGATGATGGGAATCATACCGGGATATTTTGTTATTCATCACACTATCACACCACCGGTATGGAATTTAAATCAAATTAAAATACCTTATCTTTACAATAGTATCTTTTGCCAAGGTTGTGAAACATCAGGTTTCCAAGAGTAGTGATACACGCCTGCAAAAAAGCTGAAATATACAGCCTAATGTGATAATGTTTTATACCTGAATTCTAGAGAAACCATCTTGATATTCCCAGGATATATAAGTGAACTGATAAAGTGGTAAAATATTTGATAACACTAGTAGTAGTATGATTCAATTTTTGTGGTTATTTAATTTGATTTGGTCAACGAATATTAATGAAACACGTACAGAAGGGTGTCCGAGAACTTTCAATTATTGGTATAAGCTAATTATTGGTATAAGCTAATTATTGGTATGAGCTAAAACATTCTTACTTGATTTAGACTTGACCATATGATCGACAGCTTTGTCGTGACACTTATTACACGTAAAAACGTAATTCAGCTGGAAAGGTAACATGTTCCTGAAAATGAGAAATAATGTGTAGGAAAATACACGTTTTATGTGAACAACTGGTATGTGACAAAACGTGTTTCATTGCCAAGAGCAATGATATACTATAATATCAAACATCGTAATTTGAGTATTGTATACAGTATAATGTATAATTATGTATTTTCTCGAGTTGTCGAAGCACATCTGAGGCACAACAGTTAAATGACACTAGACAAATTCTTTTGAAATGCCTGAAAATAAATGAAAGTGCCCAAGATTTACGATTTCATGTCGCCTGATAGAGAAATTAGATGAACACTTACTCTGTAGAAAGTGTGGTGCACGCTGCGTGGTGCCATTTCTTACATTCCGAACATACCAGCTCTATGCTGCCCAGATCTCTTGGTTTATTGCTGAGGAGTAGATAAATTTCAGGTTTGTTTGTCAGCTCAATAGTTAACTCAATAAAATGAGAGAAGTATCCAGATAGAAATCCATTTGTAAAATGATCACCTATTTAAAGAAACATTTATGGAATGCTATTGATACATAATTAAAATACCAACCATACACAAAGAGATAATTGTTGTTCATCCTCCGATGTCGGTTGTGACTCAACCATTCCTATTCAATAGATAGCGTTGTGAATCTACTGATACATGTTGGGGGGGGGGGGGGGGATAACGTATTTTTTTGTTTTTTTTTGTTTTTTTCAAAAATTTACTTTTACCTAAACAAAAAAAACAACAAATTCATTTTGAGCTATTTCGATTTTGAGCTATATTTTTATCATTTTATTGGTTTTTTCCTTTTTTGGTTTTTTGTTTATTTTGTTTTTTTTTGTTTATTTTGTTTATTATTATTCTGCTCAGAAATAAAATTTATTGTTGTTAGGCACTATAATGGTAAAAATGTCACATTTTTGTGACAGTGTTAACCATAGCTGCCCAATTAGCATTCCTTGCCTTGGTCTAAAATACAGTAGATTAGGTCAATCTAACAATTATGATACAATACTGGTTAAGGGGGCAGGGGGGTCTTTATGAAATTTCTCTCAAAATTGATTTTATAGTTGTTTCTAATAGAGGGGAGTGATATCTATCTGCTACTTTTGGTCCCATGGAAAAATTTTGTTCCTAGCTGAAATTATTGCCGGTCAAAGGTCAGCGCTCATGTGTAATTGTATTGCGCGAGCGATTTTCAATCGCGCGCCCTGAAAATCGAGTCTAAAAATCTATCTCCTCCTACATTTTTTGAGCAATCACCTTGAAACTTTCAGGATATATGCTAAGGACCATTTAGAAACTTTTGCTCTTTTTAGAATTTCGAGATAGGCCTTTAAAAAATTTTTATTTGATTTTGAAAATCTTGGACCTGAAAAAATCGTCAAAAAACGAGGTTCAAGATTTTCAAAATCGAATAAAAAATTTTTAAAGGCCTATCTCGAAATTCTAAAAAGAGCAAAAGTTTCTAAATGGTCCTTAAAACATATCCTGAAAGTTTCAAGGTGATTGCTTAAAAAATGTAGGAGAAGATACCTTTGACTGGCAATAATTTCGGCTAGGAACAAAATTTTTCCATGGGACCAAAAATATCTGGTAGATATCACTCCCCTCTATCAGAAACAACTATAAAATCAATTTCGAGAGAAATTTCATAAAGACCCCCCCCCTGCCCCCTTAAAGGACAGGGATCGAACGGTTTTAAGGCAATATTTCGTCAACTTTGTCACACTCAGAATACGATACCTAATATAATATGTTGTTTCGAAAAGTTAGCAAATACAGCCACTTGGTTAATGGTTATTGGGAAATGAGGTATATTCTGTCACATTTGCATTACCTTACTCGGGAATATTATAGCGGGTTTATTTATGACTGGGAAAATTAATAACCGGGAAAAATATGGCGGACTTTCCCAAAACCCGCCAAATTATCCCGGTCATGTATTTACCGGTGGCCGACCTTTTAAGTTTTTTTTCAGAGGTCAACAAATTTTCAACCGAAATTTCTGTTTTTGTTACTTGTTAAAGAAGTTATTTCAATTTACAGTTACTGATATTACTCATAAATAGAAAAAAAGACACGTCTAGTATTTAAAGGAAAATAAATCTATAGCAATAATAAGTCAAATCTTCATTAAAGCGTATTCTCATTCTCATTCTCGCTAATGTCCCCTCCATTATCATTATTGATATCCCCCTGCTGCTGACCGTCAAATTCGAAGTTGTATTGTTGTCTTAACAAGACTTTCATTTTGTCCGCTAATGGGGCTACTGCTCTGAAGGTCAGCCGGAGCTTAATTTCCTGCCCACCGCTTGGTATTGGGGAACGTCTTGGCTTTGCATATTCAACTGCTCCAGTAATCAATCCACCGTGGACCATGAAATAGTGGCACAGTTTACTCACTTCATAGGCAAGAAAAGTGAGAATCACGGTCCACCCTGAAATCTGATTTCTATAACCAAATTGTGATTTTTATAACGAAATTATGGTAGCAACCGCCAATAAAGTTACAGCCCTCCATCCACTGCTTCAAAAGTCTTCTCTAGCACATACGAGACTTCAGGTAAAATATGATGATCACCACCCCCTTGGAACCCCATAATCTGAGTCGGCGGGTTTTTTTATGACTGGTAAAATTTTTGACCGGGAAAAATATGGCGGAATCTTCCAAAACCCACCACTTTATCCCGGTTATAATAATCCCGAGTAAGGTATATGGAATTTTAAATATAGTTATAATTTTGTTTGTGACGAAATTTACATATTTTTACCATGATGAGCTGTTATAATTGTGCCAATGTTAACATATTACTGCCACATAATAATTTATATGACCGGTGCGTGGTTGAAATATGTAAATTGATCCATAGTACGTAATATAAGGTGTTTAAGTTGGTATACTAATATTTGCTCAATTTCACACATGTTGAGATATCATACAAATATATTATGTGACAAAGTTTACCTATTTCTGCCTTCTGTATTTTTATTTGCTTATAAAAATGAGATATGTTAACAATTCCCAGCACATTCATCCTACAAAATAATGCAAGACGATATTCGGCATTTCTTGTCAGGATGTCGTAAACATCCCTCATATAAATTTCTTAAATGTGTGACGGAACTGTCGAACTGACCAGGTGGTACCATTTAACGAAAAAAGTCGCTAAATATGTAGATAATAGTCATATAATGAAACTATCCAATAAACTGGAAATTCAAAAATTTGGTCAAACACAGCAGCAAGGGGCCATGTTAACTCTGTCACGTTTTTATAGTGTGACAATGTTGGTATCTCATTGCCGGCCAAATTAAGCGATATCTTATCATCTGATTAAGATATCGTTATGTGACAAAGTTTGCCTAGAGGATGAGACGATTATCCTAACCATGGAGGGTTTATATAGTTTCATAGTGTGACACATTTTACCTCATCGTGCCATTTAATAGGGCCACTTAATAGGGCCACTAATATTTACAAATATCCTCAAACTTCAATGAACGTGTCCATATACACGTAGCCTTAATTTGACAATGTCATGTTTGATTCCAATTTCAGAAATATTAAAAATTTCAAATCTTGTTCAAAATCGGTACAATAAATCGAAACTTTGAACGGCAAAGGTTTTTATAAAAAATGTGTTTTAAACAGATTCCTAGTCACGTCCACAATATCGATATGTTTAAATATGTTTAAATATTGGATTAGCCTTTGTGATGAACCAATGGTGTTATCTAAAAATTGAAATGTAACCTGCACAAATTGTTCAAAATAAGAAAAAAAAAGAATTAAATAAATGTAAATCAATAAAATCAAAAAATGTAAATCAATAAAATCAATAAAATCAGTAGAAATCAGAAAAATTCACGGACCTAGTATAGCTGTAAGTGTAAACGAAATTATGCACGTCAATTTTAATTATCCATTCCAAAAATGGCACGCCAATTAATATTACGACGGTTGTATACAAGCCGTCCTGTCGTCAGACATTTGAAATCTATAAAGCAGCCAAGAGGGAGTACAAGGTCTTCAGGTAAGTATGTTAGTTCTATCGTGAGACCCCTGAGCTCAGTAAGTTGACCTTTTCGAGGGATCGCATTCTCGTGACACTTCTTTGTCAGAGTATTCCATCTCTCGGCCGACCAACAACAATCAAATTCCAACGTAATCACACTCAAACGGGGCTTCATAATTATACGATAAAGATTTTTATCATGCAAACCACGGGTGCCTCGCATTGACAAATCTTGCAGATGATACAACCCGGCTAAAACTTCTTTTGCAAAGTATTCGTAACCAAATTGATTCTCCCGGCACATATGATTCTTATCGTGACTTTTAGGTTTGTTGATGCTCAGTTTCCTTAGATACCTAAATTCTGAAAGGCATAATAAGTTTTTAGCAAATAATCTGCAGTTGTCTAAAATAAGTTCCTCAATACATGGAGCCACTTCATTGATCTTTGACAGAATACAAGGATCACGCTCTAAATTACAATTGTATGTCAAGTCTAATGTTTTTAAGTTTGGCATCAGACTGAGCGCGGAGAAAAGTTCATCAACTTCATAGCTTGGTCCAAATATATGTTTTCCTGTCATTAAATCAATATGAAACGAAGAGTATCCATGTAGCACAAGCTTCCCCAAATTTGCGCATTTCTTCCTGTCATATTGATTGGGCATGGATATGCCACAAAATACATCTTGTATCCTCGAGAGATTAAGATACTCAATAGTTTCACTGAACTGATCCAACAGCAATTCGATTGTAGATCCTATCTCTTCAGTCCTCATAAGATCTATCCATCTCCTAATGCATGGATCTAAATTGAAAAACTGGTCTAACCAATTGGGATCTGGAAGATTGTGGAAACGTTCACAGCCAGACAAGTTGAGAACACGCACTGGGGCAGTGGCAGGGAGCTGAGGTAGTACAAATACACCATCTACAACGCTCTTACAGTTGGCATAATCAGGTCGGTATCGACTGTTATAAGTTTCAACTGGACTGGAAAGATCTAACATCTCTAGATTCACAGCACACTTTAAAACAATTCCCAAAAGTTCTCCTCTAGAAGGCAAAGTCGAGTTTAACCTCAATTTCTTTAACTTTGGAGCGAATCTATTAGCTAAAGCTTCAAAATATTTACCTTCAATTGCTGCATCGAAATCACCTGCAGTAGCCTCCTCCGTAATTGCCAAAACAGTAATATTTGGACAGTGATCAGCAATGACTTCAAGATTTCCGACATGAAGGATGTGATGTTCCAACAGGATATCTAGATGAACCAAGCTTTTGCCAACCATTAGAAATATTTTCAGGATATCAGCAGTCCTTAGTCCCGGAAAATCAAAAATGGGAAAAATATAATTTAAAAAGATACGATGTTTATCATGATTTTCTTTGAAACAATATTCTTTTCCGTAATACTTAATAGCGTTGCCAAGATCTTCATAAAGGTTCTTAGTGGTTATCTTTTTCGTTGCACAAATGGATTGCATGCAAAGATTATACCATCTTTTGCATACGCACCTGAGGTAAAACTTCTCAGCGACACCACAATTTGAGAATATTTCTAGAAAACAATCATCATTTAGAATGTGCATTGAGATTTCATCATTG